ATATAATATCTATATAAAGAGAGAGCTAATATTTTATCTATATATCTCTCTCTATATATATAGAGAGAAAGAGAGGCAAGAGAGTAATGGAATTAATGGAATTGAGTATAAGTTATTTCCTTATTTTTAAGTAAGCTTGCAAACAGTGATTCCAGCTGGCATTCAGTAAAGATAAATCATATATAACAAATTGTATCATTGATAATACAAAACATCAAAATATAAAGAATAAGATGATGACATTGTGAATTTTTCAAAATTAGCAAATAGAAATACCCATTTAAATTATTTAAAAAAATTTGTATATAAGAACTGATCAACAGATATTTTATATTTTATAAGAAAGGTGTTTATACTTTTACAAGAAAATAGAAAAAGTGAAAATGATAAATTGCTTTTGAATAATACCCAAGACTATAAACTGAAGGGCAGATGTAGGCTACAGAGCAGAAAGCAGTAATTAAATTATGGACTCCATGAGGGCCACCTACTACAGGATATTGCAGATCCTTATAAAAATGACAGTGGTAGTGGACAGAAGCCAGCTCTCTGGAAAATAGTATCTCTAGGAAGGGGCATCCGTTGCCTTTGTTAATTGAAGACTGGATTGACGTAGGCAAATTTCTGAGAGAATGTTTGACAATGTCAAATGTGTGTGAAGAAAGAAGCCTGATATTGGAGACTCAGCTATTCATGAGTCAGAGTTAAAGAGAGGAAAGTTTTTAATTGCACTGGAATGCCTTCTGTCATTTGAAGCGAGCTGGATTACACAGTTTCTAAATAATCACACGATAAACCAAACCTATGGAATGACGTTCAACTTTTGGTTAAAAAATGAGCGCAGAGAATTTTGAAAAAGTAATGAGAACAGAACAAGGTTTTCTGTGACACAAATAGAACACAAAACAATTGAAAATGAAGTCAGCAGTGCTGAGATGAAATAAGATTAATGAACTAATAGTTCAATTGAAGTTTTTCTTATGATTCTGAGGACTAAGTTTATCATGTGAGCTTCAGAAGAATTTTTAAGTCAGGTGGTGGGATTTCAAAGTTAGATGAAAATAAATATAATTAAATGTACCCCAAGTTCACTTTCAGTGTTTCTAGTTTCTTCTATAGTTCTTCATTCTAAGGTTTAAAAAAGCAATGTTTTTTTCTGTATCAGTGTGTTTTTTGCCAAATTTTTCTTTACCTACAAAGCTAAAAGTAAAGCATTTCTCTTTTGTATATTTCTCCTGGTAAATTACTTCAATAGAGGCAGTGAGACAGTAGCTTACATTTTGTTAGTTCAAATATAAAAATTCTCTGTATTGTTCCAATTTTAGTATATGTGCTGCCGAAGTGAGCACCCAAATATAAAACTTTCTTACATTACGACACTCTGTCCCCAATTTTTCCCAGATCATTCTGGTCGGTTATTTATCTTTGTCTCTTATTAAAATTATCATGAATACTTAAGCTCACATAAAAGTTATGCCTATTATTATTTCAAGATCCAAGTAAGGAGCACTTTCTACCTTGATTCGATATCCCATAAATTTACTTGCACTCTAAGTGTACAATATCATACAATTAAAAAAAAATCTTTATTTTTAGTTACCGCCAATGCATGTATAGGTTATTCAAATATAAACTGTGTCTGTAAATTAAGAAATAGAAGATCTTGAGAAGTAACCCCAAAACTTTACTTTCTTTCAGATATCTCACATCCTTGAGAAAGAGACTTGTGGTAAGTAGCTATTACTCCCAATTATATCTTTTCTCATCATTCTATTAAAAATATATTAGTACTAAACAAGATAATGTAGTATGGTCTTAAAATAATTCAAAAATATTTTGCTTTATTTTATGATTTTTTTTTTTGGTGAAAACCAAAAATTGTAACTTCTCTGATTGCTTACTGAATTTTTTATAATCTGAAATTTAATGTGGATGAAAATATCTTGTTCATAGCCAAATACAATATACATTTTATTGATTGTTAGTTTATGATAATAGTTGACAAAACAGCAAGACAAAAAAATTGCTCTAAGGAAGAATATTTTTGTCTACTAACTTGAATATTTATAACATTTATTGAAAATGACAAGGAATACTGGTCAGTATAATTTGTACAGAAAGTTTGGACTAAATTAAACATTTAATAGGAAAACAAACTTTCATGGTTTACCATTGACTTACATAGACTCAGTCAACTAATAATAAGAGGAATATCCAGTTTGTATGCACACAATTATTCCTGTATGCAGAACCAGGATAAGCCTACCTGTGCTCATCTTACAGGAATGGAAAATGTGAGAGTACATCAGAAGCTATTACTGAGAAAAGAGACCTATCACTTTTGGGTCATCTTGAAAGAGCCCAGTGAACTGGAAAGTCTCTTTAAAGTGATGACAAAATGACCTCTTAAAAATAAAGACAACAAAATGAAGAAAGGCAAATTTATTGTTTGTAAGGTTTTATTCTTCGAGTGACCTGAGGAATGAGGTGCATACACTTCGAAGAATCTTAGTTGCTTGGTTTTGGAAAGCTTCACAGAGTTCCGCCTGAAACTCAAAGATATATCTAATGAATTGGGTTTAAAATAATTTGAAAGTTCTAATAAGTTTTGAATATAAGAAGTACACTGATTTTTTAATGTCTAATAATATTCACCCACCCATCCAATGGATGCATTTAAAAAACATCTTATCTTGCAAACTTGTTTATTGGCTAGCGTATTTCTTAAGTCTTCTTTTTCCTTCTAGCATGTATAACATGAAATTAGTGATTGGGAACTTAAGAGTAACATCAAACATTGAGAATTTAGTATTCTTGCTCTCTAGTCTTATTTCAACTTTTATTACATAAGAGTTTGAGATTGTGTATGTGTTTTCCTCCCTCTGAGTTAGCTAATTTTATTTAGGCCCCGACTCATGTAAATTCTCAATGAGCTAAGGAATTGTTAATTCTTCGTTCAGTTATAATGAAAAACTATGAAAGTTTCTGACAAATAGAGATGGAAAGCACTGTCTTTTCTTAAAATTGAAAGCACTTTGACGATATTGAATGGAGACACCTTTGAGGGCCAACTGAGAAGAGTTCTGCTTTTTCTCACCTGAGAAAGTAGACAGGGACCCAGTGCTCCTGGAGGTGCTGTGAGGAGTCTGAATCTTTCCCTCTGCTAGTGGACCTCATTTATAAGAATCCTCTTTACCTGTAAATGGCAGTGTCTCAATAGGTTTCACCTATTGAGAAAGGTGTCAGACTTGTAGTCAAAAACCTCTAAGCCCAGGCCCAAGTGTAGGATCTTGTATTAAATCGTGAGTATTATCTGGAATTATTTCCTTTTTTTGTAAATTAAGATTGTTTACTTAATAATCTCTTCAGCTGGTATATGAACACCTCTTACTGTGCAAGGAATTGGGGCAGCAAATACACAGCTGTTGACATGGCAGAGGTCATTTTCTGTGGAAATACTATTGCAGCACTCTCCACAGTTTAAATATTAAAGCAACATACGTGACTTTGCTTTATGCTCTCTGAAGTACCATACAAATTCAAGAAGTTCTGACAACCAAAGGCAGCAAGTTAAGGCTAAAAGTTTAAACTACAAACATTTCTTAGGTTCAATAGCAGAATGAAATAAAAGATAAGTGTAGTCAGACCTTGATTATTCACAGATTGGCTAGAATTTGTGATTATCAATGCCCTTTGATTCTCCTTCTTCTTCCAACCACCAACTATTGAATATTTCTCTGCTCATTAACACCTGGCTAGGAGTGGGAAGGTGAAATGCTAATCAACAATTTGGCTAATTGTTAGCAGCTATGATCATTTTTATTTTATTTCTTTTTTTTTTTTTTTTTCAAAGTTGAGATAGGGAAAAACTAAAATCTTTTACTATATTTTGGGCTGTGGATTTCTAAACTTTGTGTCACTTTCTCCTTCTTTTACTGAATAAATAAATTCAGATATTTTGTTTTTAGTTAAATATTAAAGTGAATAAAAAATCTAGTAATTCATCTGTTCTCCAGTGTGAATATAAGTCGACATTATGTGTTTCTTATTGGCCAATGTTTGGAAAACCTAAAAACCCCTACAAGGAAGCTTCAGGATTTAATATTTGCAACTTTAAGTGTAGCCATATATAAATAACTATACTTGCTAAGTGGATTTAGACTAATAGGGAATCAAGTTGAAGAAAATGACTTGAGGCTTCCCTCCCCTTTGCCTCTGGTAGACATTACAGGACCCTCCCCACACCAAATAAGGGGAAGAGAAATGTTCTGAGAAATAAGGGCACTAAGAATAAATCTGAGCTATCATGGATAAGATTACTTTCAATTCTTTATTTCACGTTTTCTGACATAGACCCCAAGATCTGTAATTATCTTAGGAAAACTGCGGGGGTTTAGACAGTACATTTTACTTCCTTATTTATTTATTTATTTTTGCCTATTTTTCTTTGGGGCGGGAAAGCTAGTATATGTGCTTGTGTGTGTTCCCCTTGAGTGCCAAAAAAAAAAGTGCTGAGAGTCCTGCAGAGATGAGGCTATTTTTATTCGAAGCTGATACTTTTGCCTGAGCCACAAGTGCTGCTTTGGAAAGGGCTCAGGTTGTTACCAGGGGGAGAACTCTGCAGAGAAGAGACAAAGTTCAACAAGACAACAAAGAAGCAGCAGAAACAGCCAGGAAAACGAAGAGCCCTCACGTTTTCACACAGAATCCTCCATCAGAGTTCTCCAATCCTAAAGTATTCTGCAAAGTACCACTTGACAGGAACTTTTGCCTGCCTCTTCCTTTCTCCAACCACCATGACTGAGATCACTGCTGAAGGTATTGCTACCATTTTCCAATAGTATCAACTAGAAAAAGAAAAAAAGATGGAAATTGACAGTCACATTGACAGTAAATGTGACAACTCTAGGTGCTGCTTTTAGATAATTGTCTTGATCAATGATTCTATACGGGATCAGAGAAGTGGATTTGGGGGCTGAGAGGCTGGCAGATCTGTGTATTGGGGGAGTGAGAAGAGATTTCTCTGAAATTTTGCATGTGGAAACTTCTTTGCTATGCCAAAGGCTCCACTAGTTACTAGTGTCACCCACACCTCTATAAATAGTTATGGTCATGTAACATTATGGCTGATATCTTACCTAGCAAAAATTACAAAGCTTGCAAGAATGAAGACCATGATGAATTTAAAATGTTGCATTTCATATTTAAACTTAGAAAAATGATTTTGAGCATTTCTGCCTTATGATATTTTAAAATGGAGATTTTATTTTTTTCCTTTATTACTAGAGTATATAGATACACACACATATATGATTCATATACAATTTAAGATATGTGTTCTTATAATTTTAAAATATATTTTACTATTGGTGGATATTCAGAGACAAGGTTTAGAATTGCACAAAATCACTATAGATAAATATGATTTTTAGAATAAAACAATTTAAAAGTGGACAAATTCTGATTCTTTTTACACAATAACATCTCTTTTCCCCCCTAAATAATGAATTCTATCTTTATATTAAAATAAGTATTTTCTATTTCAGCGCTTATTCTGAAAAGGTACATGCCTTAAGTAAAGCATATAATTTTCATTATTTGACCATGGTAGCAAATGTTTTACATATGCATATATTTACATGTATTACATATAATTATATATATTTCTTAAAATAAAAAGACCCTTTAAAACAACTGAAAAGTATTGAATAAAGACATAATCTGGTTGTAGCTGGGGTAAAAATTTAGGAGGTGGATCTAAAATTTGCTTCTGACAGCTGTAAGAAAATCAGACAGGTGGTGCTCTTGACAGCTTCCAAGTTGAATGCTGTGCTGGTTTGTTTTTAATCAGACAACTGAAAAATAGAATGTGTGATTTTGGCTCTTCGGGTAGACATTAGTATGGATACATAGTGATTTCAGAGTTGGAGATTTTCTATATTTATAAGGAGAAATGTCTTATTTGTACCTTCCATTGAGAAATTTAGTCTGATATCCCAAACTAACAAAAAGCAATTACTGAGCAATTTCTATGTATATCAGGCATTTTGCTCTGGATGTTACATGTGTTTACTTATTTAAATCTCACACAATTCAATTAAGTTGGCATTATTACCTCCATTTTGCAGAAATAGAAACTGTAGCTAAGATGTTTGGTGACTTGCTCAAGACCACAGTATTGCCAAAATTAGAATCTAGCTCCCTTAAATCTGATTTGTGTTTTTGTTTTTTTTTCTGTAAGAAGATATCAGGTTTAGTCTTCACCAGTTTTAGTTGAGAATTTGCTAACTAAATATAAATAACATTTTTCCTATTCCTTAGATATTCTGAGTCATATGGCCTTTAGTTTGTCTTAAAGAGCACTATCTATAAAAACTGCTTGCTTAGACCTGCATGAGTTATTAAGATACTTACGAATATATTCCCTACCTCTGCACAGGGCGTGGACTGCCAGCTGACTCTTGAGGTCACTTGGCCAAAACATGTTTGACTTGTCTGTAGATTATGCTCTGTAGACTTTTACATTTAATTCATAAAAATTTTTACAGAAGAATTCCTGAATATAAATTAGAACTTTTGTTTTTGTACTCTCTTCATGGGAAAGTTTAAAGTGTTCTTGGAAGACCTTATGGAGTCACTCATAAAACAAAACAAAACAAAACAAAACATTGAATTAGTAATAAATTAAAAATGTAAAAATACCACCTAGCTCCTGGGTGATGGTCATTTTTCTATTCCCTTAACAATTCATAGACTCTTGTCATCAGAACATCAATGATGTGTTTTTATCCTTTCAGAAATGTTTTATTAATTATACTTCTCAAATAAAAATTGGACTGCCTACTCAAATGAGCTTAACTTTTAAGTTTAGTACCATAGTCATTCTCGGGATAAAGTCTCTTACATGCTGCTCCATTTTGCACTTTTCATTGTCTTCATGATTCTCACTTTTTAAAAAAATGAATTTATTTATTTAAAGTAGTTTCACGTATACAGTACATTGGTTAGACATCTATAATGTTCATAAAACAATCCCCCCAATTGCTTCCTCCCTCCCTTGGCCCTCCACTTAGCCATCATAATAATGCTAACCGTATTCCCTCTGCCATGCTCCCCGTGCCCAACTCTCAACTACTAATTTGTACTTCTTTAATCCTTTGCTCCATTCTCCCAGCCTCTCAACACCCTCCCCTCTGTCCGTCACCAAATTGTCCACTATATTTGTAAGTCTGTTTTTGATTAGTTTGTTCTTTTTGTTCCTTAGATACCACATATAAGTGAAATCATATGCTATCTATCTTTCTCTGACTTATTTCACTCAGTATAATAACTTCTAGGTCCATCCATGTCATTGCAAATGGTAAGATTTCATTTTTTTTAATGGCTGAGTAATATTCCATTGTATATATGAACCATAATTTCTTTATCCAAACATCTATTGATGGGCATTTAGGTTGCTTCCATATTTTGGCTATTGTAAATTGTGCTGCCATGAATATTGGAGTGCATAGATCTTTATGAATTATTGTTTTGGTTCATGATTGTCATTTTTTGCATCCCATATACAATAGCCTTCTTTCAGTCTTTTATTAGAGATGTACTTTTGAATAGGGCCTTGATACAACCTGAAATATTCTTTTCTCTTATCTGCTATATTTCTTTGCCACGCTTTTGGACACATCACTGAAATGTAAGTACTGCATTAATAGCCTTATGATATCTACTGATTACTCTTCCTACCTATGTATCACAAAGCAAGCAGACACCTTGTAGCACTGAAGAAAGTTAGAGCTAGAATATCCCCTTAGAGAGTTCTAGTCCACTGTCCTCACCTCAATTTTTGGAAAACTGAGGCTCGCACAGGTTATATGACTTTCCCATAGTCACAAATAATGAGAGGAGGTCTGAGGATACAATTCACCTCTCCTGTGGCTTATCCTAGTGCTTATTCAACCATAATGCAGTGCATGTCTCCAAATCTTATTAAGTTCTCCACATATATTTCCACTGCATGTTTTAAGCTGGAATTCCTCATCTGACAAAAGAAAGGAGGTAATGCAAGATGTGGAATTGTTTATCAGGTACAGAGCAATAGATTAACTAGAATTAAGACACAGTTGAACCCCAAAGGATTTTAGGGAAACAACACCTTTTGATTCTGGCCAAGATAAATTAAAATAATTATGATGACATAATTATAACAATGTACATTTATTCAGAAGACATTAAAGGTCAAGTGCTGTGTTATACTTGTTATATGATCATTTAATCCTCAGGACAACCTAATAAAATACATACTTTATTATTGCTATTTATAGACTAGGAACCTGAGGTTTAGAAAGGTTAGAAATTTGCCTGAATTCACACAGCTGTTTATGGTGTAACCAAGATTCACACCCTCATCTCTGATTCCAGAGTCATGTTGACTACTTCTTCTTGCTGTGTGAGACCAATAGTCAGCCTAGTATTAATCAGAGGTTGATGGGAGCCTATACTAGGCCCCTATTATGGTTTGGCCCATGCTACATTGGGTAGGTTAGAGCTGGCCACAGACTGGATCAGTGTCAAATAGCACTAAGGTTTAAGACCATAAATAGCCTTCTACCTTTTTTTCCCCCAGAGGCCTCACTTATTCCTAGACAAATGCTAAAGTTAGCTTCCCTTTCTGAGGTTCATATGAACTTTCAACTACCAATTCCAGCATCTATTTGACAGAATATATCACTATATAAATATAACTTTTGAGTAATTTGATAATAAATGAATTTTAGTTAATTTTTAATAGCTTTGTAGAAAAGATGGAGACTTTTTAAAAAGTTGATAAAATATATAATGTTTTCATATTGCCAGTTAATTAATATACAATCAAATTATGTCCAGAATTCTTTCTTTCCCTACTATTAATTCTACCACATTTCACTGCTTCTGTTACAAACCTGTGAGGGGACTGATTTCAAAATTTACAGTAAAAATGGTCATTTATTTTACACAATGCACTACTTCGACAGAATCTATAACACATGAGTATTCTCTGTTGCTCTAAAAAATAAAATCAAGAATTCACAGCCAGACTATTTAATAACTATGTACCCAAGTTATATCACCTAGAGCAACAGATAGTAAAATCAAGAGAAGAAAGAGACTCAATCTGTATATCAGTGTTTGTCTTTCCAAAGCCAGGAGTGGCTACTCTGGCCTAAGAGGAGATAAGCTGTGAATGGGAAGAGAAGGAAGAGAATGAAGCACCAGGTTCAAGATCTAATTACTTCTGGGTTGTGTTCTCCTGTTCAAGAAAAGCAATAAACCATATATAGAATATCATTTGTAGTTCTAAGAATAGATTTTAAAATTGACATTGATAAGCCAGTATATTTAAAGGAGGACCATGATGGTGAGAGGCACAGTTAAATGAAAAGAGTTATGTGCAAGTTGTTTAAATACAAGATTAAATTTTTTTAATTTTAATTTTTTATGTAGCATAAAGGAAAATACAGAGCCCTTGGATGAAAGTCTAGAAGTAAAAAGGAAAACTTTTGACAAAATACAAGGCAAAACCTAACCAACCATTAAAACGATGGTTAGAACTAACTTTTCTGACTCAAAAAAAAAAAAAGGGAGCGCACGCGCGAGAGAGAAAAATATAAAGAAAAGAAGAAAAGCAATGAAAGAAACACAGCCTTCAATTTTTAAGAAATAGAAGGATGAGGAATATGCTACAAACTATACCATCACACAAAGTCAGCAAAATCCAGGCTATGGGAACCTCTACAGTACAAACAATCCAGTTCTTTCAAATCAGTTACTAGGAACAAAAAGAT